GGATGTTTTTTCCACTGAGTAACGAACATTGTTTTGATTGATACTGTGAAGCTGCTTTGTTGTTGTTGTCTATATTGTGAAAAGTGCTATACTTTACTTGACTTGTTGTGTCTCACAAAATGCCTGATAAACATTATTTAAGTCAAGATGTCCTCTACAGTGGACATGCATGAAATAAATATCCTGTTCTGTTGAAATCCCACAAAGTTTTTCTGAGATGTTGCTTTATGAAACACAATTTGAAAAGTAGTCCGCCTTATATTATAATTACAATATATTATCATATTTCCATAAGAGAGCTACGTTTGATCACTTAATTAATGTCAGACATTTGAAAAGACCAAGGATAAGTTGTACTCCTGGTGAAACCTCCAAACATTTGGTATCTCTGAAAAGCCCTGTGTGCTCTTTACAGGAGACCCTGACATCTGGTGTCAGAGAAATTCACTAAAATATAATGCCCACAGTGGACAAAAATCTATTCATGGGTCCCAAAAACCTAAAAAAAAAATAATGATCAAAATTACAATTAAAAATGCTAAAACTTCACCAAGAAGTATTTTATAATATCTAAATTAATCTGAATGCACATGAATAGAAACGTCTTTAGGACCCAGAACAGCTCATTTACTCCAAAATGGATCTATAAGGACATCTAGTGGCAACAGTCATGAAATATCTTATTTGTGTTCTGTTTAGTTTCTCACAAGAGCTGGACAGAAACCCCAGACACATCCAATGTGAGGTTTGAAAAACAAAAAAAAACTGGTTTTGTGAATGTATTTTTAACTAATTTAAAGGTAAAAAAAAATCAGAAATAATATTGTTTGGAGCATAAGAGACAAATTGGGATATATATATTTTTTTTACATTATCTTCACTATGTGAACAATAAAAATAATGAACCCTGTCTCTGTTTGTTAAATGTCAATAAAAATCAATAATGTTTCATATTTCATATTTTTAAAATGAAAACATAAAAGATAATGTTCATTTTGTTATCAATATATGCAGTGAAGATAATCAATGTACGCGTTGCCTGAACCACATGGCCAATATGTTTATGATTTTTTTAATGAAAAGAGGCAGAGTGGTGTTTTATAACAAATGAAAAGAGGCAGAGTTGTAGTATATTTCGTTTTATTTTTGCCTCTCGTCCTCGGGAGTTCGTTCTCCTGAGTCGTAGTTGGCAAGTCCGAAGTTTGTGTACTTGGTATTGAGAAACTAAATATGAGTGGGGAAAATTCCATTGGGAGGCGATATAGCTACAGGTGTTTACTTTACAAACCGCTTTACGGTGTTTGCTCCGCTCAAGAAGAGGGATAGACAATTGCGCTCCTGCAACGTCGTTGGGTTTATTTGCCTCTCTTTGAAAAGAAAAAGTACTTTTTTTTTTGCTGTCCTTCGTTCCATCACCATTAAACCAGACCTGTTTACATGGTTGACTGGATTAAAGTAATCATGTTTTCTCTGGTTTTGGATCGTTCTGCGTGGGTACAGGTTGGTACACTGATTGTCTGTGTTTGCTTGCAGGGACCTTAGATGCATTTACTGTCCATGCTGAAACTAGGTGATGTTTTAGGCCAATAGTTTATAATATCCCGGAGAGCTAGAAACCTAAACAATCACAGGGTTAAAAACGTAGTTCTGTTTGCATTTCCATGAGAGTCAAACTAAACCTAGTGGAAATGAGATGTATATCACTCACTGTGGCTATATTGTAACATAAAACGTTTTGTAGCTAGTTGTCGTTGACAAAACAGTAAACTCGTTCTCCATGCTTTCATCCCTGGTGTGTGGACAAAGAAAGGCAGCTATCTCAAACAGTTTCAAGTTTCCAACAGCATGTGTGATGCCGAGGGCATATGCAGGTGGAATGTGACGGATGACCTTCAAAACGTGTTTTTATTCATGATTGTAATGTTTTCATTAAGACTGATGATAAAGAGTAAACACCACTGTAAAAACTTAGAAAATAAGTGTATTTTTAGACTTATTTATTCACTAGCTAACAGTAGTTAACAGCAGTTACTGGATTAACTAATAGGCTACTAATCAATATATACAGTATATATATATATGTGTATATATATGTGTGTGTGTGTGTGTGTGTGTGTGTGTGTGTATATATATATATATATATATATATATGTGTGTGTGTGAGTGTATATATATATATATATGTATGTATATATATGTATGTGTGTATATATATATATATATATATATATATATATATGTATGTGTGTATATATATGTATGTGTGTGTATATACAAACCCAATTCCATAAAAGTTGGGACACTGTACAAATTGTGAATAAAAACAGAATGCAATGATGTGGAAGTTTCAAATTTCAATATTATATTTAGAATACAACATAGATGACATATCAAATGTTGAAAGTGAGACATTTTGAATTGCCATGCCAAATATTGGCTCCTTTTGGATTTCATGAGAGCTACAAATTCCAAAAAAGTTGGGACAGGTAGCAATAAGAGGCCAGAAAAGTTAAATGTACATATAAGGAACTGCTGGAGGACAAATTTGCAACTTATTAGGTCAATTGGCAACATGATTGGGTATAAAAAGAGCCTCTCAGAGTGGCAGTGTCTCTCAGAAGTCAAGATGGGCAAAGGATCACCAATTCCCCCAATGCTGAGGCAAAAAATAGTGGAGCAATATCAGAAAGGAGTTTCTCAGAGAAAAATTGCAAAGAGTTTGAAGTTATCATCATCAACAGTGCATAATATCATCCAAAGATTCAGAGAATCTGGAACAATCTCTGTGCATAAGGGTCAAGGCCGGAAAACCATACTGAATGCCCGTGATCTTCGGCCCCTTAGACGGCACTGCATCACACACAGGAATGCTACTGTAATGGAAATCGCAACATGGGCTCAAGAATACTTCCAGAAAACATTGTCAGTGAACACAATCCACCGTGCCATTCACCGTTGCCGGCTAAAGCTCTATCGGTCAAATAAGAAGCCATATCTAAACGGGAACCAGAAGCGCAGGCGTTTTCTCTGGGCCAAGGCTCATTTAAAGTGGACTCTAGCAAAGTGGAAAACTGCTCTGTGGTCAGACGAATCAAAATTTGAAGTTCTTTTTGGAAAACTGGGACTCCATGTCATCCGGACTAAAGAGGACAAGGACAACCCAAGTTGTTATCAGCGCTCAGTTCAGAAGCCTGCATCTCTGATGGTATGGGGTTGCATGAGTGCGTGTGGCATGGGCAGCTTACACATCTGGAAAGGCACCATCAATGCTGAAAGGTATATCCAAGTTCTAGAACAACATATGCTCCCATCCAGACATCGTCTCTTTCAGGGAAGACCTTGTATTTTCCAACAAGACAATGCCAAACCACATACTGCATCAATTACAACATCATGGCTGCGTAGAAGAAGGATCCGGGTACTGAAATGGCCAGCCTGCAGTCCAGATCTTTCACCCATAGAAAACATTTGGCGCATCATAAAGAGGAAGATGCAACAAAGAAGACCTAAGACAGTTGAGCAGCTAGAAGCCTTTATTAGACAAGAATGGGACAACATTCCTATTCCTAAACTTGAGCAACTTGTCTCCTCAGTCCCCAGACGTTTGCAGACTGTTATTAAAAGAAGAGGGGATGCCACACAGTGGTAAAAATGGCCTTGTCCCAACTTTTTTGAGATGTGTTGATGCCATGAAATTTAAAATCAACTTATTTTTCCCTTAAAATTATGCATTTTCTCAGTTTAAACATTTGATATGTCATCTATGTTGTATTCTAAATATAATATTGAAGTTTGAAACTTCCACATCATTGCATTCTGTTTTTATTCACAATTTGTACAGTGTCCCAACTTTTATGGAATTGGGTTTGTATATATATATATATATATATATACAGTATATGTATGTATGTATATATAGAGTTCAGATGCAAAAGCCTCTAAGTGCCATTTGAAATTTTTTTCTAAAATGATACTTTTTATCAAGATTGTATATTAAGTTCAGTAATTTCACTTAAATGGCAATGATAATTACCTATTAATTGTCATTTAAGTGAAATTACTGAACTTAAATATACAAGCTTGATAAAAATGGTCATTTTGGAAGAAAATTTCAAATGGCATTTAGAGGCTTTTGGATCTGAACTCTTCATATATACTTATATACTTTATTCCAGTGTTTTACTGTGGATGACTCAGTTCAGCCCTATTCAAAAAATAAAATGACACGAAGGCCTATAGCCAAAAAAACAGATTTGTTTTCAGACATTCACCAATTTTTAGGTTTCAGGATTTTATTTAACCAAAGATTTATAAAGAAATCTTTGTGCTATAATTATTATACAATACAGATCTGTCAGAAATTCTTTCAAAATAATGTCCTCAGAGGTCAAAAGTCTATGCTTATGTCTTAGGAGGATATTTGTGTCCGCACACATAGGCACATTTCTGTTGTGTTGTGTTGTGTTGTGGTGTGTTTCCTTTGTGTTGTAAACTTAGTTATGTTTGCTGTTTAAATTTCATTGTGTTGTGCTCTACCGCCACGGATAAGGTAGAGTGATATTCGTACAAAGGCTTTTATTGGGGATCAACAGATCAGCCTGAGTAAGAACAGTCAAAATAGGAGGCATTAGGCAAAGAAACAATCTAGAAAACAGGCATGTTGTACACAGGAAAAAGAAAAGGAGTGCTACAGCACTGACCTCTGGTGGTGAAGGGACTACAGGGGGACTGCAGTAGAAACTGACGATAAAGACACACGAAAATAATCATAAAGCACATGGTTTGACAGTTGGAGATATTTGCAACAGGCAGGTCTAGCACTAATGAACGTGTCCTGAGTGTGCTGTGATAGGAATGGGAATACAGTCAGCGCACAATTATTATGTTAATCGATGTTATGATCCTATTTTTTTCAAGCACATTTGACCAATTCCAAACCACAATAGTCTTAACTACTCTTAATTATATATATATATATATATATATATATATTATATTTAAGTGATATATAAAAGTTGTTAAAGTGGAAAAATGCCTTTTTATTCATATGTGCAGCAGGTTTACTTTAAAGGACTTTTAACTTTTAATAAATTCTTCAAGCAGAGGTACGAGAGGATGTGCTGGTCCTTTAAGAATCCTTCTCAGAGTCTATAAAACTTTTTTAAAAAAAAATATGATCAGAATATCAACTAGCATAATTCAGTGATGGAGAAAGATTCTGTCATTCTGATGTTACTGAAGTGAAAAGTGATGATCTGATACTGTGGATGTTTGTTTGCACTGTTGCTTGTGTGACATTGTTTAGTTAAAATATCTTCCCAAATGGTGTGGTATTTGTGCCTTTATTGCTGTTCTGAACTAGGAGGACACCAGTTTTTGTACCCTATTTTTTTTGGAAAGTCTATTAAAAATGAAGTCCATAATAACCCATTATGTGAGGGTGAGTAGTATTTGAGGGTAATGAGACTGTTGTTCAGTTCAACACTATATTGTATCAGTGAGGGACTGATGTGGATGTACATGTGTTCTCCTCTACTGGTTAATTTGATTAGATCTGATGTCATAAATCAGCACAGCAACAGTAGCCACGCCCACCAGAGCAGAGACGACCAATCGGATCACAGCTTCAGTGAAACCACAACACTGGACAGAGTCTAAATAAAAATAAGAAAACATTGTGCATATAGTTGTGCTTTTAGACTATTGCACTTAGACACTAATGTAAAGGCAATGATGTACTTGTTTATCATAAATATGGCAACACCTCACTTACCTTCACATGGTTGACAGTGTTGACTGATATCCAGATGTGTGGTCTGGTTGCTGACAGGATTGTTGATCACACAGTTGTAAGTGTTTTTATCCTGATATTCCACATCCAGAGGTAGAGAGAGACTGATGCTGAGATCAGACACACTGATGTTGGACAATACACTCATTCCTTTATACCAGGAGAGAGTCACATGACTCACATTCACAGCTGAACACACCAGTGAACATCTGGACACTGATGATGATGATGAACACTGTGAAGAGTCCCTGGTGATGACAGGAATGGGCAGAGGATCTGGAAAAGAGAAGGGAGATTGTTTATAGGCAGTTTCAATACAGAACAAGTAAAAATACTATTGGGTCCTTTATTAAATCTGTACAGTAATACATGTACAACATTTTATTTGATCTTCCTTTTTTGTTCTTGTTCATAAACAATTCCATGAAAAATGCAGAACTAAATGGGCTTAATGGTCTTCAGTAACATTAAATGTTATCAGATTGTTGAATCTGCTGCATTTACAAACCGTACGAACGCTTTGTGTGTCAAGTCATGTCTGACTTGAAATGAACTATCAAAGAAATGTTTGTGTTCACTGCAATACAGTGAATGACAGACACTTGTGGTCTCCCAATGGCTTACATTATTGTTAAAATAGTTTTAAGGCTATTTAAGACTAAAATTAAGGCTCACGCTGCTTCCCATTTGCCTAATTAAAAGTAAAAAGTATTGCCCTAAAAGTATGTACTGTTTTTCTGTATTGGATTTGGAGAGAAAAGATGTAGGACGTTGACCAGCCAGGATGGGTCTTTTGTGGCAAAAACGCTTTTCATATTTTTATATATTTATAAAAGTTCACATTGTTGATTTAGATTAATTGTGTTGCAGATAGCATTAAAAGCTCAATATTTAAGATTTTTAGATTAAAATATCCAAAAACTATATAAACTATATTTATTGACTTATGTGCTTACATTTTTCCAAATGTTTCCAACATTGTTTAGATTTTAAATGCTGTATCATTAGGTATCCTGTCAGTGACATTTTCAATATTGGCAAAAGTTTTGGGACGTCTGCCTTTACATGCACATCATGAACCCATTCTTAATCCTTAGGTCATAGGGTTTAATATAAATTTATTAATAATAAAATAGTCCAAAATGTCTTGGTATGCTGAAGCATTAAGAGTTCCTTTCACTAGAAACTAAGGGGTGAAGCCCAACTCCTGAAAAACAACCCCACACCATAATCCCCCCTCCAGCTAACATTACACTTGACACAATGCAGTCAGGCAACTACCGTTCTCCTGGAAACTGCCAAACTCAGACTCGTTCATCAGATTTCCAGACAGAGAGGTGTGATTCGTCACTCAGAGAACACATCTCGACCGTTCTACAGTCCGGTGGCTTTACATCACTGCATCAGACTCATTGCATTGCACTTGATGTAGGGCTTGGACACAGCTGCTCGACCATGGAAACTCATTCCATGAAGCTTTCTGCTCACTGTTCATGAGCTAATCTGAAGGCCACACGAAGTTTGGAGGTCTGTATTGACTCTGCAGAAAGTTGGCCACTTCTACGCACCTCAACATGGGCTGACCCCGCTCTGTGATTTTTACATGGCCGACCACTTAGTGGATGAGTTGCTGTTGTTCCCAATTGCTTCCACTTTATAATACCACTAACAGTTGACTGTGGGAATATTTAGTAGTGAGAATTGCAGTTATTGCTAGATGGAAACCTATCACATACCACACTTGAATTCACTGAGCTCCCCAAAGCGACCCATTCTTTCACATGTTTGTAGGAGCGTCTGCATGCTATTTGCTATTTATACGATTGAATTAACATTATTTCAACTCTGCTCTGTGCTCTAGTAGTAACCTGCTAATTTCTTGTCAAATTGTTGGCTCTCCTTACTGACTTTAATCACTGTATTAAAACAGCAGTTATTTTATTTTAATGAAAAGAAGTTTAACACAGTGATATTAAAATAAATAATCCTTATGCTGTATAATGCAATGAGACTTACCTGGACCATGGCTAACACGTGGGATTGTCTGAAGGACAGGTGTTGAAACAGGAGCTTCAAACCAAAAAGAAAACAATCAAAAAGAAGATCAACGAACCGCTAAAGTGTAATACCACATTTAACATTAGCTAAAGATGTAGAGACGTATTTATTCGCAAACGCCATATAAAAGTGAATTTTGCATCCGATGACCCCTTTAAAGTAAATAATCCCTATGCTGTATAATGCTATGAGACTCACCTGGATCATGGCTAACGTGTGGGATTGTGTGAAGGACAGGTGTTGAAGCAGGTGCTTTATACCAAAAAGAAAACAATCAAAAAGAAGATGAAGGAACCGCAAAAGTGTAAAACCACATTTAAGTGAGAGTGAGAGAACAAACTGCATCACATTTGAATAGTTTCCCTCAGAAAGATGAATAAAACCAGACAGAGGAGGTATATTTCACTTACCAAACACACTAACTGTGAATGTTTTGTGTGAAACCCCTCGTTGGCTGAGAACAGTTAGTTTATAAAGTCCAGAGTTTGTGGTTCTGATGTCCTTTATGGTGAGAGATCCCGTTTGACTGTCAAGCTGCAGTTTGTCTTTGAATCTCGTGCTTTGCTCATATATAGTGATGACCTGCTCATCAATGTCAGCAATACGAATCTCTGAAGGTCCAAAACACCACAGAATATAATCTGATCGAAGTGTTTCAGTAACACCAGAGTTCAGCGTGATAGACTCTCCCTCCATCACTGAAATCATTTCATCTGTTTTAGCATCTGGAACACATTCAGATGAGGTTGATGGTTAGAAACTGCAGTTAAAACGAATTGTTTGTTTTTCAAAAGAAACACAAAGGAAGTGTTCAGCAACAGGATATAGTTTCATTTTGTTTCCACTAGCTCCTCTGTGTGCCACTTATACATAAATGATCAATGATCATGCGCTTCATGTTCACAGGTATTTCCTCTTTTACCGCAACAAGTTGTAAATACTAATGGTTTATCATTAGCAGAGTGACTCATCAAAATGACTAATGATAAATGTAATATTAAATAACTCACCGTGGACACAGATGAAAAACAAGATGACAGTCCACATGGGCATTGTTATAAGACTTAGTCTCTCTTCAGTTGAGTCTCTGTAAAGTTAGTGGAGGAAGAGCAGATTCTCATTACTGCAACCGTCCAGTGGGTGTTACTTTCACAGTCCTGTGGTTTTATGTGGGTGATAGACTCACTGCGGATGTGTAGACACAGCTGACTTTTTCACATCAAAGAAGTCACATCAAGCAAATACACTCTTATTGATATTTAAAAGCATGTTACTAATTATCCCTAATATTTATTTGAATAAAATCTCCAAGGCTGTCTGAGAAGTTTTGCAGGAACAAATTCTGTGTGGGCAGATGCACGACAGAACTGAAAGGAAAAAAGAAAGAAAGGAAAAAAATGCCAGAATGAGAGTGTCTGTTAAAGGTCTGTCTGTGTTTGAGAGAGTGCAAAGCTTCGCCCACCGCTGTGGTTTAGACACTTTTCTGCTTCATTTCCACCTGACCGACACATTTTCCATTGAACAATTGTCATCGTTCTCTTACTTTTGTCACAATTTTAATCCACGGATTCATATGGATCGGACAGTTTCATGTATGCATGTCTCCTACCTAACCTATTTCATTTAAAGTAGATTTATTTCGATTTAGAAAAGTGTATTTTAGCAAATTATGATGGTAATCCCCTGGAGTGACTTGAGTATTACACAAGAAAACTCCCCTGGAGTATTACACAAGAAAATCCAACCAGTAGAAACCAGATTTCAGACTTGATATGAAAGTTTCAGCATTGGTCAAATTGGGCATTATACATCCATTTAAATATAATTATTATAAAGATTTGATGTATAATTTAAAGTGTAATTGCTGCCCTCTATAGGCTACATAGTGTAACAGGCTTGTAAAACAAGGTGCAGGTGCAGCCTATGTGAGATTTGTGCCATATTTATTTTTCTAGTTAATCTGGTCTTTTCAGATGCCATATTTAAGATATAAATAAAAGTTGTGAGTAAATTGAGTGACTGAGACACTTGTCTTTTTCTAGGTGTGTTTGCTGTCAAGACGAATGGAGTGGAGTCAGTATCAGCGACTGAGGGAGATTCTGTCACTCTACACACTTCTGTTACTCTAAATGACAAGGGTGTAATAGTCTTGGAATATTTTGGACCTAATCAGAATTGTTCGGCTACAGTTCGGCTGCGTAACACCAGTATATATGGCAGTAAATGTAATGAAACGTTCAAGGACAGACTGCACTTTGACCGTCAGACCAGATCTCTCATCATCCAGAACACCAGAACCACAGACTCTGGACGCTATCAACTGAAGGTCATGGTCAATAGCAGCACCATAAATAAGACTTTCAATGTTTCTGTTACAGGTGAGTAGAGAATTAAAATATAATATCATATTAGTTGAAGAGACGCATTCAGACTCATTACAAACCCTGTTAATTTAGCATTGCAGCCATGAACCATATCTTGCCAAGAGCTCTTAGATCGTCCACTGACAAATTAACTATCTCACACTCTCGCTTGAAATCTAAAGGTGATAGAGCTTTCTCTGTTTTTGGAATCTGTTACCTCAATCGGTTCTTCTTCTTCTTTGTATTCAAGTCAGCTCTGATCTTTTCTCTCAGGCCTATTCATAACAGTGGATATGTAGCCTTTGTGAGTTAAAATTGTATATGAAATTTGTACGACCTATGTTTTTATTGTGTTTTGTTGGTCACCAGTAATGCACCTTGGTCAGCAGTAATGCTGTTTTAAGGTGATATATAAATAACAGTGACTTTGACCTTGATATTAGAGGGAGGTTATGTTTTTTTTTTTTTTTTTTTTTTTTTGCAGATAATAGCAATAGACAGAAATTTGAGCCCCTGACTGCAAGATGAATTATCAATATTTATAGGTTGATATTCCCAGAGGAGAAAGATTCATTCAGTAAATAATGGGATAGTTTACTCAATGTAAATTCTGTCATCATTTACTGACACCCCCCCCCCCCTTCTATGATTTTCTTTCTTATGTAAAACACAAAAGATTACATATTTTAAAGGTTTCAACTGTTATTGACTTTTTATTATATGGACAAAAAATAAATAAAAATCTATGTCTTCTTTTATGTTCCACTGAATGAAAGTCATACAGGTTGGAAGGACATAAGGCAGAGTAAATGATGACAGAATTTGCATTTTGTTGTGAGACAAAATGCCACAAAACTCTGACTCTATACATTGGGTCTTAAAAATGTCTATTTAATGAATCTTATATGAAATAAAGGCATAGTATGAATTAATATATGTATCCATCTATCCAGCTGTTACTGCACCAGATCCTCCCTTACAATGGCCGATATATGTAGCCGTGTTGGTTCTGGCTGCTCTCGGAGTCGGGATATTCCTGTACTGTTGTTGCAGGAAGAGAAGACAAAAAGAGCAAGCAGGCAAGTACTACCTATGACTAATGGTCAAATAAAAATAAAATACAAAAAATATTGTTAAAAAAATTTCAATTAGACAAAAATACAATTGTCAGTATTGTTGTATTGCAAACACGTTTTCTAATTGAATTAATACAATTCATTTTAAGTCAGTTTGTATTGTCAATACAGTCCAGATCGGCCCAGAAGAACAGCAGTTACAAGAGAGCAATATTGAAGGTATTGTATTACTTTGAAAACATAATCTAACTCTGCACTGTTTTTTAATTGATTTATTTTATTTTTTATTAATTATTTTTTCTTTTTTTTATTATTGTAAAACAGGTCCAGTTCCTGCGGTCAAGTGCAATTGTTTCAAACTAAAGTTTTGGAACAGTCAAACGTATGTATAAACGATTTCTATCGTGGTGCACTTACTATGTTTTATGAAAGTAAATTTTATCACATATTTATAGGCTACTTATATTCATTTATCTTTTTTCCTTTTGCCACTCTCTATTTTTCATTAGCAAACAGGCCGATCAGCACCAACACCAAGAAGTCTGATGACCTGATGATTCCTGTCAGCGCGGTCAAAACGTTTTTCCTGGAGTCTCCCATATTTCACTCGCATCTCCCACAAACTTCCTGTATTTTTTTTTTTTCATCCAGGGAATATTCCAAGTTGTCCAGTTGTCAGATCTTGTATGAAACATCCTACTCAGACAATTGACACATCATACAGATTTCAACCCATATATGTGACCTCAGCTGGCAACCTTCACTACAACCCAGTTGCGCTGTTGATGTCTGCGCAGGATGCAAGAAGTGGAATCAAGCATCGTCTAAGCTTGAATAGGAGGAGAAGACTCAGGTTGTGCTCCGGCATTATCTATATACAGTAGGCTATGTGGATCTCTTGCACTGAAATTTACTGAATAACGCAAAACAAAAAGCCTACTTGAATTCATGAAGTGCATTAGCTTGCCCATACTGTCCCATTCATGTTGGTTTGGACTCGTTGTGTTTGTATCCACATACCTTCATCACTCATCTGTTGTCATGGACACTAATTACATTCAGCTGTGCGTTTGGTTCTGTGTCAGTTCAGTGTCCCCTATTTTCTGTTAAAGGGGTCATGAACTGGCTTTTTAAAATTTAGTATATTGTTGTCTGAGGTCAACTTATGACGTTCGCTTGGTTTTTGCGTTCAAAAACATCAAAATGAATAAGTAATAGGCTATTTTCTACCCTACACTGTAAAAAGAAAAGGTGCCTGGAGGAACCTTTTGGGGTTTTTCACTTTGGCACACCGGCGGAACCGTCTGTAGATCCTCTAGGAACCCTTTAAAAAAGGGACAGTTCTCTGAGGAACCACCCAGGTTTCCTGAGGAACTCTTATATAAGGCACTGCATGGAACCGCTTTGGGTGCCTCCAGGAACCAATTTTTATTTATTTATTTATTATTATTATTTCATGTTGTTTCTATGGTTAGCATTAACTTCTATTATTATAAACAAACTGAACCAAATACAAGGTAAGAATTGTTTATTAAATTTTAGATCCATTTTAATACATACACTTCCATGCACTCGGGAAAAGAAGCTAGTAATAGATTAATATCAATGAATAGAATACACAAACAAATAGTATAATACATACTGTAAGCAACATGAATAATCAACAATGTACAGTATATACAGTAGGGTATACAAGAAAAGACATCTCAACAAAATGCATGGAAACACATCACATTAATAAAAAAAAACAATTAAGTTAAGTTGTGTCAATGGACTTTTTTTGCCTGTGTAATTTCACAAATTTGACCGCACCTTTACTTGCTGAAACATAAAATGCAATCATTAATAAAATCTTAACAAGGGACATGTGAGGCTAACGAGTTAGAACAGTACAATTTTCCGTTTGTTTTTCCTCTTTACTGGTGGATGGTCCAGGCACTTCAATGATTTTCAGGTCTACAGGAGGATTATTTTTCTTGTTCACACTTGTATTTCAGCTTACCGAGGTGCCTGCAAAGAACCAAAATTACTGTCAGCAGTGTTATTAAAGTGATAGTTGTGAACTGAAAATAATTTCCTTGTGACATTCCGAACCTGTTTGACTTTCTGTCTGTGGAACCCAAAAGCACATCTCAGGCGTAATGCAACCCCAGTCATCATTCAGTTTCACTGCAGGAGACAAAACAGTGTAAATCATTCATGAAACCATTCTTATGTACACTTGTTTAGTTCAACTCAATGCAATAATTTATGTAAAAATGGTTAAATATTGTGTTAATCTCCAAAAATGTCACAGAAAAGATCATAAAAATATGAAAAATGAAATTGAAAAATTGGTCTACAACTCATTAATTGTTACGAGTTGTGTTGCAAGTCTTCTGAAGCCATATAATAGCCTTTGTTTTTTGTCTAAAAAGACCACACTTTAAGTTATAATTCAGAGTTCGATTTTTTTTTTTTATATTCAAATGCAAATGATTAAAGGGGAAATGAAGCAGTGAATCAAGTTTACATGATTTACAAGATGGATTTCCAATATAATCAACGATTATATAAGAAACATTACAAATGTAAACATTTAGAAGAAAAAAGGAAAAAACTTTGTATCTTTCGCCACCAGGGCGCCGCCATTGTGCAGTTGACGTCACGGGGTTGGTTGGCTCAAGTTTAACAGGCTCTGGGCAGACTTTCTGGTATGACATTTGTGATTTTATAAAATGTTATGTGAATCCTAACTTTGATTTTACATATAGAAATGTAATTTTTGGTTTACATGAATGTGAAAAGAAAAGGGATATTTATTTTATAAATCTTATTTTTCTGTTAGCTAAATTTCACATTCACAAATGTAAATTTTCTAATTGCAGTCCTCTTTTTGTAAGATTTAAACTTGAAATGAAAATGTACTTTGAATCTATAGAGTTCTCTAAAAACTTAAAAGCTATAAGAACAGTGGCTGCGTTTAAGGACTTGGCACTTAACCTGGAGTAAAAAGACAGAAGGAGCTTAATCTGGATTGAAGGACTCAATGGTTTTTATGTTTTGACAATGACAATAATTGTGGTATATGTTTTTTTTTTGTTTGTTTGTTGTTGTGATGTTTTCCTTTACGAGCATTTAATAAAAAAAAAAAAAATAAAAAAAAAAAAAACAGGCTCTGGGCATTGAAAATCGCGACATCAAACTGTGTTTACGCCAGTGTTTTGACCGCGAACGACTAATGTTAGGTACAGTTAGACTAAAAGACGACTTCTCATGTTATATTCCTGTTCACTGAAGGTTCACTGAAGCGATACAGATGAATAGTTTCGTTACAGAATAAAACTGTTCTCTTCCTGCTTCTTCTTCTTCTTCTTCTTCTTCTTCTTCTTCTTCTTCTTATATTCATATGACCATATTATCATTATAATTATTATTAGACATACTTACTATTTTTTGTCGTTGTTTAAGTTTTAAATGAATCAAATAAAATAGGCCAATACTAATTAAATGGAAGTATACTAGCTGCATCATAAATATAATTTTCGAATATATATTAACTAGCCTATAACAATACTTAAGTATAACAATAATAGGATAATAATAGTATTATTTAATTATTTTAATAATAGTATTATATCATAATAGGATAATAATTGTATTCTGGACTCACAGAACCATTAGGTTCCTCCAGATGCTTACTAGAGGTTAAGTGTCTTGCTCAGGGACACATTTGTGTCTCACAGTGGAAAAATTACAAGCACCATCACCACCGCCTATAGAAGAGCTATGAAAGGCTCTGTTCAAATGGACACTTGGTTTTGTCCACTGAGTGGCAGTAAAAGCACATTTTACTTTCTTGAGTGCAGCCAAAAGGGTCTTAAATTAATGTTCAATTTGCTTCTTATAGGAATGTGTTCATCATAGTTCAAAACAGGTTGTATCTAGGCTACATCTCTTCTAGAACAGGCTTCTCATGGTTGCCTTAATATTTATTTACTGGTTCAACTGGCATATTTAGAAAAATAAGCTAGTTTAAATTGACAAATTGCTGTCTGGAAACAGAAAAGAGAATATCCTTCTGATAGATGCTTCGTCACATCCCGTTGTTCTCATTATGGTTGTTTGTGGTTGTAAGAAGCCCATACACTAGGCTACTATACACCTCTATACATCAACAGATTAAACTCCATGTCTGAGCTCAGAACCCAGTTTAATGAACATGCTATTGTTAAAATGAATGCCGTTAAATGATGGACCAAACAGCATGCGCTTGAACAGTGGGTGCAAGTTTAAAACTGCATTGATCAAACGCCTTCTGTGATCCTAATTCATTCAAGTATGGTTCAATAAAGTTCCCGACCGACCCTCAGTTATTCACGACGTTACTGACCATCTCCAACCAGAATCACTTTACTTGTAAACAAGTTCCTCGGTCGCTGAAGATCATTAAGTGATGTGACGTCATCACCGACACCACATGGCTCTGGGCGAAACCAACTGACAGAGCTCTCATCAGCGTGCAGTCATTAGCCTACTGTTTATTTTGTTGTAGTGTTATTGTTTTTGTCGATCTGATTCAGCGATTCGAGTCTTCTGATGTGAGTTGATCGGTTTACAGAGTTTTGTAGCCTACATTTACCATAAAACACACGGTAACGTTACTCACACGATCATTTCTGGATTGTTATTTCTGATGCGTCAAGATGAATAATCATTTAGTGTCAGGTTTGCATTTAGTTTTAGTTTAGTAGTTTTGTGTTGTTTAAAAATATGTCTAAAATAATATGTTTATACCGAAATTAGGCCTATGTAAAATCAGATCTGGAGCAGAGCTGCTGATTTCATGTCAATAGTTTTGTTCACCTCATTCATTGTAAACTGCCACTTTCATCAGCTCATTTCATTAGTAGGCCACTGACACAAACTACACCATTATCACTTTTAAAATTGTATTCCTTCTGTTTTATTTTAATGTATTATTGGTATTTGAAATCTTTTAACTGACAATTTTATATTTTGTCGTCCATTTGTTCATGGGACAGGTAAAATAACTTTATTTGTATTGTAATAGAGTGCCGAAGTGATGACCTAACTTTGTAGGACAACTCAAGCTAGCTTCGCATGGGTTCCCTCGATCGAAAAGCTATTTTCCCCATAGACTTTTGGAAAATTGCACAAAAAAAATAAGATCTGGGTTAATCCATGGGTTAATGAGTTAATCCAAAATGTATACATTTTGGAGCCTATATAAAGTTTAAAAAACCCACAAGTAGGTTATAACTGGTGTGTTTTATATCATAGATCAAAATGTGAAAATATTTAGAGGCTTTAAACCACAGACCTTTCAGGTGATTTAGCAAAAACCAATGGACTTTAGAGCGAGGGAACCGGAAGTGCTAAAATGCTAATTCACTTCCTCGTTTTGGCCTACAAAGTGACGTCATAAATCCGGCTCTCTATTGTATCCATCTATGAAAATGTAAAGAAAACATTGATTGATTAAAATGTGTGCAATAATGAAAACATCAGTTTGCTAAACTGGTCATTTTTGGTTTTAGCAGATCTGCTGTTCCTGCTACAGAACTTGAAGCTCCTCCCACAGCAATTCACCTATAAATGCTGGATCATTCCCATCAAGTGAAGAAGACAGTTGAACATGGAGAACATGAGTGATCCAGAACCCTGCCGAATGGAAGATGAAGATACTGAAGAACAAAGAGGTTGGTGTTTATTCTTAATTCGTCATTAATAATGAATGAATTTTAAATGTATACAACATGTAGTTAGAAAAGTCACAAGTGCTGTGAAATAACATGGTTAAAGTATCAAATAATATACAGGACACTGGAGCCTGAAACTGAAATGTTCTTTTATATCTTTTATTTTCCAACAAAGTTATTAAAATAAAGTTTTAAATGTCATAAATTAAAGTTAATGATAGACTTCTACATTTTGTTTTTTTGTAAAAGCAGAGACTGGATTCAATTGACTAATGCTTATAATGGGATCATTTGAAATACATTTTTCAAAATATTCGAGAGATTGTGTCAGAAACATGAGATTTTTGCCTATATATAATATTGTATTGCAGTTGTCTATGTTCTGGTGCTAGTCATTTTTTATGACATTTTCTTTTTAATTTTTTAAGGATAAACAGAAAATAGACTCCCTCACGGCTCTACATAGGATAACTGGTTTGGAGAATGGGTGAATGAAAATTAAATCCTTTTTTTTAATTCATTTTAGGCTTTATTGAACAGAATGAGGAGAGTGAAGAACTGACTGAAGGCGATGAGAAACATCATCATGTCAAAATGGGAGAAAAAACTTTGAAGAGAGCCAAAAATTCTTGCCCTCAGTGTGGAAAGAGATTCCCAAACAAAATAAGTCTTAAACTTCACATGACAGTTCATAGTGGAGAGAAACCGTACACATGTGATCAATGCGGGAAGAGTTTCACACAAAAAGGACACCTTAAAGGACACATGAAGATCCACACAGGAGAGAAGCCGTACACATGTGATCAATGTGGGAAGAGTTTTGCACAAAAAGGAACGCTTAATGAACACATGAAGGTCCACACTGGAGAGAAGCCGTACACATGTGAACAATGCGGGAAGACTTTCACACAAAGAGGAGCGCTTAAAGGACACATGAAGGTCCACACTGGAGAGAAGCCGTACACATGTGATCAATGTGGGAAGAGTTTTGCACAAAAAGGAACGCTTATTGGACACATGAAAATCCACACTGGAGAGAAGCCGTACCCATGTGATCAGTGCGAGAAGAGTTTTGCACACAAAAATCACTTTAAAGTACACTTAAAAATCCACACTGGAGAAAAGCCGTACACATGTGATCAGTGCGGAAAAAGTTTCACTCAAAAAGGAACCCTTATTGGACACATGAAGATCCACACTGGAGAGAAGCCATACACATGTGATCAGTGCGGGAAGAGTTTTAAACGTGGATTGAGTCTTAAATCACATCTACGTATTCATTCTGGAGAGAGATCGTTTTACTGTGATCAGTGTGGGAAAACTTTTTTTTCAGAACTATCCCTGAAGGGCCACCTGAAAGTTCATACAAAGGAGAAGCCTCACATGTGATTTTGTGTGGGAAGAGTTTTAGTCAGCTGAGTGCTTTAAAATCACACCAGAAAATAGACAGTGGTGTGAAGAATCACATGTGATTTGATTGTGGGACAAGTGTGACAAGAGATTCAGTCAGTCAGGAAACATGTAAAAACATCATCCACACTGGAGAGAAGCTGTGCGTGTGATCAATGCGGGAAGAGTTTCACATGAAAATAAGCCCTTAATGATCACATAAGGCCACGAGTACATGGGATCAACAGTGAGTGATCAATTGTTAAAACACTGAGAACACTTGCAAATTCCTCGTTCTTTTAGCTGCATGTGTAATACACTCATAATTTTCATGGAAACTGTTTGTTTCTTCGTTTTATTAAAATCTTTTAATAACTGTAATGTTGACTTATCAATGTTTTAGCTTTAACAAATAAAATTTACCACGTTGAACAGTGTTTTTTTTATTCAAATCTTTTAGTTACTGTTACGTTGACTTATCAATGTTTTTGTAATTGCGAATAAAATTTGACATGTTTTTGATCACCTCATGAGTATTATGTCAATAATCAATTCTTTGTTTTATCGAATTCACTGATAACAATGATTTTGTGGTGAAGTAATGCTACGGAAAATGGGAAATGTAATTTCTACATAAAAATTGTAGTTCGGGCAAGTAAGTAAATCCTATTTTAGGATTAGAATCCTCTCAATTCAATTTTGCGCCATTTTGTGCATTTTATGATCAGTCAGAAAACGATCCGTCATTTAAGAAAGAAAAAAAACCATTACCATCTCAGAGATGTGCCATGCATTGCGTCATCACGTTGAAAAGGTACACTTTTTCTGTGTACTCCGGTTCAAAAATGTATAGCAAATAACAAAAAATAATAATATTATATAAATATATTTATTATATTATTGTTTTTAATAGAAAATGCAGTAAAGAGATCTTAAGAGAGATGCAGGATGTCATTTTTCTAATCCCATGTCAATTTAACACTGGTGAAATTACGAGAAGTGCAATCTTCACACACTGGGTCATTTTGTGAATACACAATTACAATACACATTTCTCCATACAACACAAAGAAATACAACCAATAGTGCAAAATATATATTTCTGTAACCTTATTGACGTGATATAATATATAATATGATGATTTGTAAATTGACAGTGATTTGCAATGCGTATAGAAAACTCTATTAACCGCTATTCACAGTGTATCATTGGTAAAGGTTGTTTAAGGTCACCACCGACTACACGGGAGAATAGGTTTAATCATTAAGGAACGGATGGTGATTGACTGTTTTCTGTCGGTTTCCTGATTTTCAGTTCAACTTTCGTGGATCTGAAATGATCAACCAATACAGCAACAGTAGCCACACCCACCAGAACAGAGAGGACCAATCGGATCACAGCTTCAGTAAAACTACAACACTGGACAGAGTCTGAGAGAAGAAACATAAAAACACTCAAACATTAGTGCGCTCAATACCTCATAAAAGGTCGTAATTTGCTCGTTATTTTTATGGTTTTCCTAAATATTTGCTCACTGCCTGGAAATTACCATATTACATGGATTGATATACCTGAACATGGTCGACAAAGTTGCGTAATGTTGAGATGTGTGGTCTGGTTTTTGACTGGATTGTTGATCACACAGCTGTAAGTGTTTTTATCCTGATATTCCACTTCCAGAGGTAGAGAGAGACTGATGCTGAGATCACACACACTGATGCTGGACAATACACTCATTCCTTTATACCAGGAGAGAGTCACATCACTCACATTCAACACTGAACACACCAGTGAACATCTGGACTCTGATGATCTAGATGACGATGAACATTGTGAAGAGTTACTGACAATCTCCGGTACAGGCAGAGGAGCTGGAAAAGATGTGGAAGATGAGGGAAGTTCGATGAGGTGAGACTCGTCTCAAACAAAATCAACAATTGAAAGAGACACAACAAAATGTATGAAAGTAAGAGAAATAAAGGGTAAAAGGCAATGTGGCAGTGATATTTAACTCACCATTTACAATAATCATGAATCTCTCCCGTAAGGTTCTTCTGGAGCTGCTGATAGAAACTGTATAATATCCAGAGTCACTGAATCTGGTGTTTGTGATGGTCAGAGTTCCAGTCGGATGCAGTTTCAGTCTGTCTCTGAATCTCTCGTCAGCATCAGGATACGTATAAATCTGATTATAGACTTCAGCAATACACGATTTATCAGATCCAAACTTCCATGTTATGTGATCATTTCTCTGAATGCTAGTAACATCAGTGTGTAGAGTGACAGAATCTCCCTCCATCACCGATATTATCTTTATTCCGTCCGCTTCCACATCTGTTTAAAAAGTGTAAATACAATTGTGGATTGAGAGTTGTTGGTTAAAAAACGTTTAAAATGTTTTAAAAAAGGAAGTATTCATCTTCAGGAATTGTTTTATTTTTATTTGATTTTTGTTACCCATAATTTTTCACTGCTTGTTCATAAATCCGAGAACACAATATTCTAGATAGCATGAAAGCAAAGAGATATTCCAGATAGCCAAGAGATTCATCGATGCACTTGCAAAATGCATGTATTAGAAGCAGAATAACTAATACTAATAATTTAAAAATACACTCACCATGAACACATATAAAACAAGCCAACAAGCTCCACAGAAACATTTTTGAAAGACTGACTAGTAGAGTTTAGTGGATTCAGGTTATATCTGATAATACCCTCTAAAGGTTTCCACTGTAAATTACAACAAGACTGGAAGAATTGGGTTCGCTGGTCTCTGATTTGCAGAGTATAATCAGACTGAAGGTAATCTCAGGTTATCATCAATATCACTGCAACTGAAACTAAAGTAACCACTTCTTGTTCTGAGCAACTTTCAAAAACAACAATGAAAGGTCTTGCGTTACTATTTCACTATTGGCTCATGAACCATGGTGAAATGAACCAATGTTGCGCTATATTTTATTTGACAATTTGAAAGATACAGATAGAGATTGAAAAAGAAATAGTTGGCAAAGTTTATGTTTATGTGACTGAGAGATATGTAAATGTCCTCCTTTTTCTCAAGCATATTATCAATGGCCAACTCTTTAGAAATACGATATTTGTATTTGTATCACAATTTAAACGAGATAAAAATATTTGTTGCTATTTGTCTCATGGGCGTCATATAAAGGGGGAAAGTTAGGACAATTCCAACAAATAAGTAAACAATAGGCACAACAAATAAGTAAAAACGATTTTAAATGTTGTATTATACACTATATAAGCCATCATCGTTGAGTATATTTCAAATAATAATAAAATGCAATACAAGTTAAATATCCCCATTGAACAAAAAGTAAACATTCATATTGACCGACCACCCCCCTGGATCTGCATGAAATGGTTTAGTCCTGCCTGAGCATGCGCGGTCTATTGCACTCAGTCAGAGTCGTCGAGTCGATGTGCTAGAAAACAACCAGTCAACAATGTTGTTTTGTTAAAAGAAAATCTGGTTTTCAAAAAAAGAAAAGAGAGAAGGAAGACAAAAGAAAGGTTGGCAATCTGTTTTTCTCAAGAAAGGTGGGTAGCCTTTAGTCTGTGAGTTGTCCATAGTGAAATAAGCTAGCTAAGCTAGCTGCAGGATAATGTTAGCCTACATTTCTTTAACATTTAATCAGTGCAATGAAACGTTTAGCTAGATATTTAGCTATATTTAGCCAGGTCTCCCTTGCAAAAGAGATTTTTAATCTCAATGGGTTTTTACCTGGTTAAATAAAGGATAAATAAAAAATATTATAATTAAATCATTGTCCATTCTTTTATCAGACTTAACAGACGAGTCAGCAGCACCCCATTTTTTAAAAAATGAGATTTTTTTTAAATAACACCTTAAACCATGACTTATGGCAAGTTTTGTGGATAGAAATGGACATTTGAGATATACAAATTTCATTTATGTTATCCTGTAGACATTTTGAACATTAAAATCCAAATGAAACTTCAGTAGTTTAAAAGGTGACTAGCTTACGTTATTTATTTTATTATTATCACATATATATGTTATGGCTGGGAATCGATAAAAAATTAACAAATTAAATTGCACAATTTGCTGAGATTAATCGCTATTAATCTTTATTTCCCATAAACTTGTAATCATCAATATTTAAATGTAGAATCACTAATTAAATTAAACAACACACAAAAAATGGGGAAAAAGAAAAATAAACAAATTGGACAGTATAGCCCTATATTGAAATATAAAACATCAAATCAATTTGATAAAAGTACTAATAGTAGGCTAATTTGTTTTTATTAACATGTTTAGTTTTTATAAAATTATTTTCAAGATTTTTTCAAGAATTAGTTTTTGCTGCTGATTTATACACTCATTAAGTTTAATAAAAATACCTGAATCATTTATGTAATATGTAAAGGTGTTAACTGTAATCTTACACTGCAAAATGATAATTTACAAAGGATTAAATCCATTTCAATTATGAATATTTGCCGCGGGTGAGGGCTTCGATAACCTCTCTCTTTTTTGACCACGTGTTTGCATCCTTGAATAAATAGATAATCAAATTTACAATAACTGGTAGTAAAATTGTAATTTATATCTACTGGGCTCCATATCTTAACTCAAATGATCTGTTTCTACCACAAAATCTTTTAATAAAGTGAAATGTCTGTTGATGACCCTGTAAGGCTTGTGTTGTGATGTGTCACTCTTAACAACTGTAATGTCTCAACATTGATGTCAATTCTTGGTTTCACCACATTCATTTTGCTTATGTTTTCAGATCACCTATGAATTGCTACTTAACGCTCAATGCAATGAGCATTAAGCAATTCTCCCGCTAAAACAATTCACCAGTAAAGCTCCTTCCACAAGAATTTACCAATAAATGCTGGAAGGTTTTCATCAGTCTTCAATCTTCAAGTGAACAAGAACAGCAACAACATCAGGAGTGATCCAAAATCCTGCAGAATGAAACCTGGAGCTACTGAAGAACAAAGAGGTTGGTGTTTATCCTTGATTCTTCATTAATGATGCTAAAGAACATTAAGATTATAAAACTTAAAACAGTTACACAAGCTGTAAAATGTATTATTACGGTAGCCAACAACAATCAGGACAGGGAACAATCTGGATCTTTTTTTTTTTTCAATAAATGTTAAGTAAAAAGGAGGTTTGAGAAACTTTCATATTGTCAAGCTCTATCTGAGCTGTTTTTTTTGCAAGTAGTAAATCAACAAAATGATTGGCATATAAGTTGAGAAAGCAGCTGGCCAGAAAAAAAAAATATAAATAAAATATATATAAAATATAAAGGACTCTCACAATAAAATAGAAATAAATATGGGAGTTACGGCTATTTACGACAGTGCAAGTATACCACAGCGACTCTAGGGGTCGCTGTTTCACAAAACACAATTGCTGCATAGTGTGCCTTTAAGGTTTTAATGTGTAGTCTTTACTATTATGTAATCCTTAAAAGTGAAATTCTTATTAAACTCCAATGAATAAATGTGACTGAAAACATAATTGATATGAAAATTGAATACAATAGAATCAATTTGTGACGATGCCAAAAATTATAATATCCATAAATAAGAATTTGTACATCTGCTAAATTCACGTTTTAGTGCTGTCAGAGTCAATACATCTTAATATTCTTTGTTTCAGTGTGTGTGAAAATGTAAGTTAGAACCATATTTTATATAGAAATACACACGCATACTCATGAGATCTCTTTGTAGAATTATGTCTCTTCCAATGCTAATTCTAATTTGTGCAAAATTATGCACCCATTGTATTTTTGGTTTTCTGTTAAGTTTATGTTAGACGGAGTTGGTCAAAATTATTTAATAGCTCTCACTACAAAAATATCAGATTTATTCCCACTATCCAACGTTAAAAAAATAGTTGAAAATGAATGTTTTTACTTTTCTATTAGACATAAAGGAAGAAAACAAGGAGAGTGAAGAACTGATTAAAGAGGAGGAACATCATGATGAGAAAAATGGAGAAAAATCTATTTCCTCACAAACAGCAAGGACTGTTTTGACCAACAAATCTTTCACCAGCCCTCTGTGTGGGAAGAAAAAAGAAATATGCAAAAAAAGTGGTAAACGTCGTATTAAAGTTGGAAAGTACAAATGTGACCAGTGTGGGAATCGTTTCACGCAAAAAGTAAGTCTTAAAAGGCACAAGCAAATCCACACTGGAGAGAAGCCGCACACATGTGATCAGTGTGGGAAGAGTTTCACACTCAGAGAAACCCTGTATAATCACATGAAAACCCACACCGGAGAGAGACCACACACATGTACGCAGTGCGGGAAGAGTTTCACACAAAAACGTTCCCTTAATGAACACATGAAAATCCACACCGGAGAGAGGCCACACACATGTGACCAGTGCGGGAAGAGTTTCACGCAAAGAGGAACCCTTATTGATCACATGAAAAGCCACACTGGAGAGAGGACGAACAAATGTGATCAGTGTGGGAGGAGTTTTGCACGAAAAGAACAGCTTAAAAAACACATGAAGATCCACACCGGAGAGAAGGAGTTCAAATGTGATCAGTGCGAGAAGAGTTTCGCATATTTGGCCAGTCTTAAATTACATCAACGTCGTCATTCAGGAGAAAGACCATATTATTGTGACCAGTGTGGAAAATTGTTAATTTCTGCATCGGCCTTGAGGAGCCACATGATAGTTCACTCAAACGAAAAGCCTTACGTGTGTTCTTTGTGTGGAAAGAGTTTTAGTCGGCAAAGTAATTTAACATCGCACCATAAATACAGACACAGCGCTGTGAAGGAGTTCAAATGTGATCAGTGCGAGAAGAGTTTCGCATATTTGGCCACTCTTAAATTACATCAACATTGTCATTCAGGAGAAAGACCATATTATTGTGATCAGTGTGGAAAATTGTTCATTTCTGCATCGACCTTGAGGGGCCACATGATAGTTCATTCAAACGAAAGGCCTTACGTGTGTTCTTTGTGTGGAAAGAGTTTTAGCCGGCGAGGTAATTTAAGATCGCACCATAAATACAAACACAGCGCTGTGAAGGATAATATGTGCAAATAGTGGGAAGACTTTTATTAGAAATGTTGACCAGAGAATTCAACCTTACAAGTGTTCACACTGCGACAAGAGATTCATTTGGTCAGGCGAAATGTGAGGATCCATGTCGGAGAGAAGCCTTGTGAATGTGATCAATGTGGGAAGAGTTTCACACATAAAGGAAACCTAGGATTTAGGTCTGTCAAACGATTAATCGCGATTAATCGCATCCAAAATAAAAGTTTGTGTTTACATGATATATTTGGGTGTATTGTGTATAATTATATATATATAAATAAAAACACACACATGCTTGTATATATTTAAGAAATATTTTCATGTATATACCGTCTATATATTTATATATCATTCATATTATATATAAATATAAATATTTTATATATAAATTATATTTTTTCTTAAATATACATGCATGTGTGTGTATTTTTTATATATATAAATATAATAATTATACACAGTACACCCACATATATTATGTAAACACAAACTTTTATTTTGGATGCGATTAATCGCGATTAATCGTTTGACAGTCCTTCTAGGATTTATATGAAAACCCACACTGGAGAGAATCTCACACATGTGATCACTGTGGGAACTATAGGGAATTAATCGCATCCAATATAAAAGTTTGTGTTTACATAATATATGTGGGTGCACTGTGTATAATATAAATATATATATATATAGTATAATATTTCTTAAATATACAAGCATGTGTGTGTATTTATATATATATATATATATATATATATATATATATATATATAATTATTAATAATGATGCATTAATAATTCACGATGTTCATTTCCTCATCATATTTTTGTTAACAGAATATTTTGTTAACAATGTTTAACCGTTTTAATGTCATGGAAAATAATTTTCGTAAACATCTTTTCTACTGTGATCACACGAAACCACAAAATGTTATTGCGGCTGGTTCTTCAAAGCTTGCTGTAAAGATGGCTACACATCTGCATTGATGCGTGTTGTAGTTGCGTGTCATCTAATAGTCGCACGTTTATTTTATTTATTTATTTTAATTTTGGGAGGAGTAAAATTTACAAATGTGGTTTCAACAGCCAGATGCATTTACATTTGGGTTTTTTTATTTGGAATGAGTCTCAGAGCACTTCCTGATGTGGCCTGAGTGATCAGGGCCCGTATGTATAAAGCCGCTCAGAGTAAATTTTTTGTCTTAAGTGTGTCAAAATTCTAAGAATGACGTAATTTTACTCTTATTCTTATACTTAAGAATCACTTATACTTAAGAATAAGTGTGATTCATAAAAGTTCCTAAGTGTTAAGACTAGGTCTCAGCTCCTAATTTATTTAAGAGAACTGGAGAGGTCTCCTAACCAGTTAGGAGTAACAAGATGGCAGCAGAGTGGAGGAGGCCGTGCAGTTTCCAACAACGTAAGAATGTGTTGGAATTATATGATGACAGAGAGTTGATCAAATGAGACAGGCTTGATCGTCAGGGTATTATTTTTGTTACTGACCTAGTCATAAATTCAACTTCTCCCACTGTAAGAGACAATGCCTTAACTGCAGAAATGAAAGTTATAATGACTCTGCATTTCCTTGGACCAGTTTGGTTTTGTTTTTGCATCCATTTTTTTTTTAACCATTTTTCAACTTTTGTCTTTCCTTTATATAGAGCTGTGAGTGCAATTTTTAATTATGTGATTCATCAGCTTAATTACTTAAATATCATCACATTTGTCCATTTAATTTGTGTTTTGAAACTGAAACTGTTGAAACTTAAAATTGTGTGAAATAAATGCTTGTACTTATTTGTAATCTTTTTGTACAATGCAAAAATGAATTATTCTAAATAAATTGGAACATTGAAATAATTCATGTCTCAATAATTAATGTCTTAATTAAATAATGAATTAATTGTGTCATGCTGCTGTGACCTCATCCTTGCACCATTATTGGCTGATTCAGAGGTTCAGGGCGGACATTTTGGGTTCACATCATTGTAGTCCTTAGTTCACAGCACTTAAGTCCCACTTCAGTCAGCACTTAGGAATCAGTCTTATACTTTACTGAAAGTTGCTTTTAGCTGCTTTATAAAAGTCTCCTACTCTTAGAAAAGTCCTACTCTTTACTAAGTATTTTCTGACTCTTAAGTCAAAGCTTAAGACTATTCTTATGAGCATTTCTTAGAAGTTTTAAGTCCATCTAAGTGTTTCAGAGGGCCTTAACACCAGGGCCCGTATCCCTAAAGAATTTTAGTGCAAAAAGTGGCTCCTAGCGGCCAAATTCTAAGAAAATTCTCAGAGTCGTGACGTTTTCTTAAAATTTCCCCTAAAAGTGACACGAAAATCCCAGTTAATATAAAAGCTATTCCTCAAGATTCCTAGCGCTTAAAAGGGCTCCTAAGGCGAGATCTGCTAAGAGCAGGGAAGAGGACTTTTAGTGGCTTAGGAGTTCCCTTAAGCAGCCGCAAACAATTTCTTTTTTCCTTTTTTTCTCCATTTTCTGTGTTTGTAGGATATTTGTTAACAAGCCTTCATAAATAGACCAGCCAGCAATCACAGACATTGATAAAAGCTTAGCCGTGTTACCCTTGTTAAGACCACACTGAGTTGTAACGTTGCAATTTCTACTTCATTTAGGACATTCACTTAAGATAGGCCATCTTGTTTTCAATGGGGTCCATATGGGAGTGAAAGTACAAAATATGCCAGCTAGGATATTATTATGAGCAAATAAGACACGAATCATTATTTGAACAGGGTGTAATGAGCTTAAGTTTTCACATAGATTCTACTGTTAGGCTATAACCCCTACAGCTTACTATTCATTTTCCAGATATTTTCTTGAATGTGAAATATTATTTACAATTACAGTCTGCATAAGATTAGAGTGTATAATTATGTTTATTGATTTGATGGTACATCCTTTGCTTGTTATCACCAAAAGTTCATTTTCATCAAACTTGTAGGATCAACCAATCACAGCTTTTGAAATGATGACTCATACCTAGCAACGGGGTCAACCACACCTCCTCACTAAGATAGGATTTTCCCTCCATTCCTTGCTCAGAGTTCACTGAAAATGTTCTGGAATCACTTCTAAGCTAAAACTCCTGGCAAGGAATTTTTAGGTTAAGTTAGGAGCTCTCCGAGAGGATTCTCAGAAACTTTAGGGATACGGGCCCTGGTCTTTACACAGTTGGATAGCTATCCATTCAAAGAAAAAACACAAAGTGATCAGGTGTTAACAGGCCAATTGAAATACATACACTGATTGTTTTTATTTTATTTTTAAATGGTCTCACAGAAAGGAAGCAAAAAACTGTATAAAGAAGAGTGTGATTTGTATTTGCTCTGATGCATTGCTGTTTTTTATTCATCACAAATTGCAAGAAACAATAAAATTATAGAGCAGTTTTATAATCGTTTAAGCAGTTTTCTTGACTCAAAGTAATGTTTCTAACTCAAACACTAAAGTGAGATATTTGCCGATGGTCCTCTAGCTTGTTTCGGGAGTGTCACTTTTAATAGTTGCTGATATCATGTCAATAGTAGTTTTCACCTCATTCACTATGATGATGTGTTTAATCATCCACATAATGCCACTATAAACCGCCACTTTATGCGTGTTCCGTATAGGTTTCAATGGATGAAACAGAATACCCCATTACCATTTTTGATATCTACATTATATAAATCATAACAGCATTTTTCATTATAGTTTGTGATAATCTGTTTCATGCAAAATTTGTTTGAATTTGTTTATGCTTCTGTTTAATTATTTTTCATATTATTATTATTTTTTTATTACACATATATTTTATTTTTCTTTGAACTGTTCATATGACGCATAACAGTATAAAAAGTTTATATTAAATCGACTAACAAACAAAATAAAAATATATAGAATAAATTTGTAACTAACAATCCATCTATGAAAATAGAAACAAAAAAATGTAATGCAGTTTTAAAAATATTAGCAGTGCAGCTGTTACCACAGAACCCGAAGCTCCTCCCACGGCAGTTCGCCTTTAAATGCTGGAATGTTCCCATAGTAGAGTGAAGAAGACAGCTATGGCAAACCGTTTTAACATTTAATCAGTTTAACCTACTAGTCTCTATTTTCATGCTACTAGTACTTATTTTTAAGATACTAGTATCTATTCCATTACGTACTAGTACTTATTCATTAGCTACTAGTGCTTATTCTTTAGATGCTAGTGCCTTTTCTTTAGATACTAGTGTTTATTCTTTAGGTACTAGTACCTTTTTAAAGATAGTACTTATTCATTAGATACTAGTCCTTATTTATTAGATACTATTACTTATTCATTAGATACTAGTCCTTATTTAGTGCTTATTCATAAGATACTACTGCTTATATGGCAAGCCGTTTTAACATTTAATCATTTTAACCTACTAGTCTCTATTTTCATGCCACTAGTACTTATTTTTTTAGATACTAGTATCTATAACATTACGTACTAGTACTTATTCACTAGCTACTAGTGCTTATTCTTTAGATACTAGTACCTTTTCTTTAGATACTAGTGCTTATCCTTTAGGTACTAGTACCTTTTTAAAGATACTAGTACTTATTCATTAGATACTAGTCCTTATTTATTAGTGCTTATTCATTAGATACTAGTACTTATTATTTGATACTAGTACTTATTCATTAGATACTAGTACCTATTAAATAGATACTAGTACTTACTCTTTAGATACTGGTACTTATTTATTTCATACTAGTGCTTATTTCTTAGAAACTAGTACTTATTCATTAGATACTAGTACTTATTTATTAGATAAAAGTCCGTATTTATTAGATAATAGCAGTACTTATTCATTAGATACTAGTGCTTATTTATTAGCCTCCATTTTTGCACTCAGGTGTAAGTCCCGTGGCCCTCTATCAGAATCCAGAGTTTCAAGAAGATCAGAGAAACTCAAAATTTTGACCAAAAAAAAAAAAAAAAACGACAGTGTTACCCCTTTCGTTTTTTTTTTCGGTGCGAAAAAAAAAAAGTTTTGCGGT